GCTCAGCTTCAGTCCGAATCGTGTGCGATTCTAGAAGTACACTCATCTTCAAATTAATCTGGCTCCAACTGGAAAATCGAGTGGAATCCCAGATGAAACTCTCGTTTGTGATACACTTCAACCGAAGATGCTCCCTGAAGACCACATCTTATTTTAGCTGGGACAATATTCGAGATATACTGGAGGTATATTTCTACGAAGATGAAACACACAGGGTCACCGAAGACTCTTCGACAGCCCACAACCTTATGAGTAGTGTGTCCGGTCATGAAAATTTACTACCGACTGAAACGTGAGGTCGTATTGGGTATAGTTAATATGTCGTTCCTCTTTAATAAGAACTCATCATGTAACCGTAAGACCTACTCAATTGGTACAGAATACGAAAGTTCGCTTGCTTGCTTCTAGTTACCTGGTGCTGACGGGTTACCCCGAGGGGAATACATCTATCACTCTAAACTGCCGAAGAAGTTCAGGCGTTTGATTAAGACATCGAGAATCCTCGCCGTACGTTGTTGGATTTCGATGGAATATATATGGTTCAAGCAACTTGGAAGCCGATACGCAAGGAAATTTAAGTAAACACTACGTCCGATAGCTCAGTGCATGAATTGACTAGGTAGTACAAATGTCTAGGATTTTATGAAATCTGCTGTTCGACTGTGGTTCAGACAGGAGGCGACAGTGATTGGTGGCTGGAGGTAACAAATACCCGGTCAACACACCATGAGAAGCCCTGTTTTTCATCTGGCAGACGGACATCAGGAGTGCACTTTGAAGCAAATTCATGTAGCATACTCGCTTTACGTGACGAAAACTTGGAGCGAAGCCAAGCTGATACCAATTTATGAAATACTCTAATTCTCTGACCACAACAAGACGATGCCATTGTTAAAGGGAATACAACCTTCGAACGAGTAATACTCAAAAGTTAATGAATTGAGCACTGTGGCTAGCCCCTTTGTCATCGTTCAACACACCATCGACTGGCCTTCGCTGATCCGCAAGCTTCCGTGCATAAAGCACTTTATTCTGGTTCACCTGACCTTCGTTTTTCCTATTTCTGGAGCCAAGCATCATTCCAGATAGTAGTTTATAGATAGACAGACTATCCTCGAGTGCATAAGGGCGGAATGGTGAATTTTTCTAGGAGGAAAGTCGCTTAAAAACCACCCAAAGATCACAACACTTCAGGAAATCGATGTGAACAGCCTTCAGTCACAAAGGACAGTTTGCAGGGACGCCTTAAGTAAGGAAAATTCATTCGCTTTCGTTTTGTTTGATAATGAAGTGAGGGACGGGGCACACCGGCTCTTGATTCTGGTACGTTTTCTACCCAACTTTGGAAGAAATAGTTCCAGCGTGAAAAGACTGAGCGGCCTATTTTTTGCTTTCAGACAGCTTCCTGGGATGGAATTTTCTGCTTACAATTTTGGAAGGTGTGTAATCACCAGAACCGCTACTTCTCTCGAGGTATTTCTTGCGCCGGGAATTAGTGTAAAAGAGTGGATATCCTGCACTTGACAGAAGAAACGATAAACGATAAGGACAATAATGATATCATAATAATGAATAAAAATGAGCACATTTAGTTGCCTGGAAACATCACAAACGAGAGATTCAGTTGGGTTCCAGGTGAGTCCCTGGAAAAACCAAATTAGTTTGCAAATGAGTGCATATTAGCTAATTCCGTGCAATTCGGTTTCAAGTAGTACATAAAGTTGATGGAAATTCGGGGGCTGCGCCTACCTGATGAGCCCTGAGAAGGTCGAAACCGGTCGTGGGCTGTCGATGAATTTTCAGCAACCTTCTGAGTAGTGCATTACGAATATACATCTATCGCGATATCTCGTAGCGAATAAAACATTAGGCGGCCCGATGCAGCACATTCAGTTGCCTAGAAACATCAAAACGAGGGATTCAGCTGGGTTCCAGGTGAGTAGTCTCTCGAAAAGCCAAATTAGTTTGCATTTCCCTAAAAATACTAATCGTCCATCGCGTTACTTACGTACTAACTGGTGCTCGGACTGGTCACAATTTTTGTCGAGATCATCATATGTCTTCTCAGTCCACTTGATGACTATCGATCTTTAGTGAGCGCCTTGTCGGGTGCTTATTTGGCTGAAATGGCCAACTGATGAGCCACGATACTAACGGAAATCACATAGTGACTGGGTTTTCTGACTCCAGCCACATTTCCATCTAGATCCATTCAAAGTCCAGGGAGTGATAGCCATACGGTTTCCAACCAAATCGAAGACAAGAATCAAATCCCCAGAGTTCACTCCCAGTTTGACCCAAACATTGCAAGTGCCAGGAACTTCGGCCTCCCGCAACCAGTGAGAACTGTTGTCCGGAGGGCTGTGCTGTCGATTTTGGTGCATCTATCCGGTGAATTTTAATACGAAAATAACATATCGTGGATGAATTCCCATAATTACCAAACCCTGCGCTACAAAAGTCATGAAGTTACTCGTAAACCTACTCACAGCTTTCACTTTCAACCACTGCATCTTCCAAATTACCTTGTGAGTTTTTCTTATCAGGATAGCACTTTCAGGACATGCTAATTATCTTTCACGTTTTCGACAACATCTTATTTGATTTCTAGTTTATACAAGAACGCTGATATAACAAGAACTCGAAAAAATGACATCTGTTTCGTCAGAAGCAAGGAAACCGTTTTTTGTTCATATTCCTGGTTGCTAGAAGTGACTTAATTCACAAAGACACATTGCTGTCAAGCCGTCGACATTTCAACCTTGTTGGTTTCAGGTTTCATCACGCAAGTGTCAACTGTAACAAACGGACGAAGAATATGGAACAATACCAGTAATAAGCAAATCAAGAGCAAATAATTAACAGGAGTTATGTGCAAGACAGCAAGTAGGATAGTTGCCCGTAGCCTGTTCAACATACTACTCGCTTACATTTAGAAGGAAAACGCTTTTCTTCACGTTGCAGCTCACGTAGGCAGCTCAGAGGAAGGATAATTTCCCTGGCTCCGAAACTTCCTTCTGAGAAGTAGTCAGGTAAGGAGCAAGTCAATACGTGACCACGTAATATGGTTTTCCGTTATTGACGGATGAGTGGTGCTATGTGTTGTCTAACTTAGAGTTACTCACAATGCTGATCAGCCACTCTTGATCTAACGGTTAAGTGTTCACCCAGTGGCTCGGCGGTCGCGGGTTCAAAACTCTGAGTCTCATGAGATCCGCACTGTTTCAATGAGGATCAATTAGCTGTTTAGTGCTTCTCAGCCTTAGGCTTCACTGACAGGATGAAATCTCCAGTGAATATGACCAGATCTGTTCAGATTTACGATCAACCTGTTTTATTGTGCAGCACTAATCCAGGAGAAATGTCATGAACGGAATCGACCGCTCTGTGCACTGTCTAGTTCGTCTTCTCGTCCAGTACCACCGGGTAGTTGTGAGCGCTGTTGGCTTCTTTGACCACGCCGTTTTCAAGCATCTCTTGCACCTGTCTTTGAATTCCTCACGTAGATGGAGCAGTATATGACAGAGACTGTATTGTTGGTAGAATCAGAACGAGAACTTCGTGTTCGATCCGGGGGCAGAAACCAAACGGATCGTCCTAATCTGAAAACAGCTCGGAGTACTCCTCGGTCATAGACTGTACTGAAGGAGAATTACTAGATGGAGGTTTTCGGGCATGCAGCTCATTCACCTCAACGCTGAGGTACCATTCAAGCTATTACTTTGTGACCAGCTTTCCTCGCTTCAGGTCCAACACGGATTCCGCACTCTCTGGAAAATCTGCTCCCAAAAATTGTATGCTTCAAGTCTAGGCTGGTCAGGAGCTCGCGCTGAACCGTCTGTGTAAAATGAGTACAATGACCATCCATCAATTCTCAGTCAGGATCTCCAACTGCCCTCACTGCTATCGCGCACGGTCTTCAACCAGCTTCGTTCTACCTCTGCCTCAGTTCCATCCCCGCAATCAACTTCATCACTCCATCCGGGAAGGAACGAGTAAGCCAAGCCGTTATTATTGACAGCTTACTGACTACGGTGATATTGGTTCTTCCAGTGGTCAGGCATGCCACAACTGTAGTATCTGCACTTCTGCCTTCACGGTGGAGAGCTCTTCGGCTAGCCAGTCCACTTCCCTCCGCAGGTCTTCCACTGGTGACTCATCCCTCCTCGTTTGGCTATAGTGTGTACAGTGGTACCACGGCCATTCTCTTGAACTGTCCGGTTGCTCTCGTCAACCGCAACTGAGCTCCAAGCGCCGGCTGCGCTCCTCTGATGCAGAGCGTTTCAGTACTTTCTTCATATACAGGGAGCGTGCTTTGACACTCGGCCAGACACTACTCACATGTGTAATCAGTAGTATATGCCGCCAGACCAGTAAGCAGCTCACAAAAAACCTGCCTCATTCAGGACTGAAAAGACCACATTTTCAGTGTAAATTGCGTTTTCTTCCGACGTTCTAGCATTTGGTGCCATATATTTCGGGAGGATTTTTAACAGTGGCCGCGTGAAGAATTTCAAACTGTCTTGTCTGAAGTCCAGAGATGGTTTTACAACCGGTATCGACACCACGAGTAATAAGAATACCAAACACCTCATTTAATTTTCAACCAAACCAAGAAACTTCTGGTTAGAATACAGAGTAAATTTGATTTGTTTTTATACTAAAACCTTGGCAAACATAAAATCTGCCAGAGTTAGATCAGTATCGACCCAGTCACTTTCCATTTTGAAGTATGACGTACGAACCATTCACAAGCGAGAAAGACAGGAACATCTACGAAACAAAGGCTTACGCAACTGCTAGGTGTGAGGACACTTTCTACATTACATAGTGATTTCCAATCTCCTGGACCTACTAAAACAAAGGGCCAAGCATTTTGCCGCTCAGAGAGCCGAATATTCCATTTGAGCGAAAGAATAAGTTTTCTGGTCACTTGATAGTCACATTGGGTTTGTAATTGTGAAAGTCATTCAATTTAATGGACTATGAGCTCCGTGGTATTTTTGTGACTGATGAACGGACGGGAAAAAAGCTATGGAACCAGGATCTTGTTCTCGTTACATATTTGTTGAAAAAGACACTGCAGAACTTAGAGTATCCGGAGAGACTAATACACTGATTTCACTCAGACGACCTGTTCTAAAAACGGAGAGTTCGGTTTTTGTCTCGATAGGATTCGTGATGAAATGTTGTGAACATGTTACTGATAAAAAGTATTCAACCACTGCATATTGCTATATTTATTAGAAAATATTTGTTTTGGAATGACCGTTTTCAATCTCATTCGCCTGAAGAACCTCCACAGAAAATTCTCACTGCTTTTGAGTGATAATCCAGTAGGAGACGGGGAAAGCCAAGTAGATGCAATAAACCTTGTAAGTACTTAACCATCGTCTTAAAGTGGTACTCACTTAGAAAACACGATTCGGGTACTGATTGCTTGCCGCATTCGGACTTTCAAAGCAACACAATTGACAATTCATTTCAGTAGTAGTTGGTGGCTCAACGACAGTCCGTAATTCCGCCATGCTTCTGTATTCATTTGTTTGCAAATGTCCTGGTACCTATCAAATGGAATAAATTAGCGCCCATCCACTCCCCCAATAACTGTAGCAGCGAAATACGTGGTAAGTGCTACCGACATTCACCTGATGGATACAGTTGATCAAGCCCAGTCATCCTGCGTCAATTATTGGCAACGAAAGACGAAACCCATCTTTTAAAACGCCATCCTGATAGGTGACTATCCCTCTTTGCCAGCAAAAAAGACACATGAACGCTCCGACCTTGTCCTGGTTCGCCTGTGAAACTTCCACAGATAGTGTCATTGTTTAGATACCAAGAGAATGACAATACTGTATAGTATTTGTAACTACTTACCCCATTTATCGCAACATCTGAACAATTTCCTGTTGTTCAGTTACTTTCGTTTCATGCCAAACTACCGTAGTGCCTTGATGTGCGAGACGCCTAGCTGTGATATTTCTTCGACATGAGACCCTTCTTCGGAGGCCAGGGTTTTCCAGACCCACAAAGTGAATTCCTGGTGTGCTGTGAAACAACAGGGCCAAACAGATTGGCCTACTAAACGTAACAGCTGGAAATGTACAAATTTTTCCCCATACGGATAAAACGATCACGAAGTGTATAGGTTAACATCCCCTACAGGGATGGAATCCACAAGTGCAAATTCCGGACTGCCTGGAATTTGCTGCAGTTCTGTTAACCCGGATTCCAGTTTGCGGTGCGCAGTGTCTGACTGACGAATTCATTAGCAATACCAATATGTAGAACTATACTGAACGACAACTCTTGACTAGAATATGACATCATTTCCAAGCACATGCCTGAAACAAGTGTGAACAACGTACGTGTTACTCACAGTTCGTTGATGTGCTTCAGTTCCACCGAATAAGACATCATACGTGTTGCACGATTCTTCATAATATCTCGTTTCATAAACGACACATTGTTGCAAATGTGATTTTGCACTGTTTCTTAAGTAGTGGAGCTTTCTGGAAGTTTACTGGTTAGACGATCCGATCCTTCAGCTATAGCACCTTTTCGGTGCCTAACTGACATGATACCCGAAGGTTGCACGAGGTCTGGGATACTGCCAGGTTGCCCAAGCCTAGACAGGGGAATTTGAGAGGCAGAGGTCGGGTTCGAACCACGGACCTTCCGGGCAGTCAATTCGCGCTCTCACCACTTGGGTCATTTCGTCCCACTGGTTAGACAGAGTGAGGAGAATGACTCTCTAAGAGAAGAGGAACCCAAGCAAAGTCAGTTCCTCGTTGAACCTTCCAGAATTTTGGTCATTTAGTAAGTGGAGGATGGAATGATGGAGAATTGCTGACTGAATATCTTTTTCAGTAGCTCAAACTAGTGCTTCTGGGAACTGAAGTACACAAACAGGACCGTCCGCATATTTGGGGATGGTGACAAAGCACCCGAACCCGACAACAAAATGTTTCAAAATGCAGTCCCAGGACACGTCCTTTAGAATTCAAGGAGAAATACTGGATGTTACGGAGAATTTTATATACCTCGGTAGAATTATTCCATATTCCCGATAGTTCTATCATTTCTGACGAAATCAGTTGTCCGTAGTACGAACCTGACACGGCGAAGAATATGCACTGCTGACGAGCTCTAATAAGAGTGAAATTTGAATATGTGGGCCCTGCAAAATACTTGCGTTAGTAAGGCAGAACGACTGTTCGAACATAAGTGGCGTGAAGACTTACATAATAATACAGGATTCATACGCATTTCGACTCACTTTGCAAATGGAACGTGACAGCCTTCACACGATGTCCGCGCGCTGGCTCGCTGAAAGAAAAAGGATCCGTCTGTGGTGGATCGTCATTGCTCCTCGAAAAAACCTGTCTTGCACAAACGCCGGATGACACCACCGCTTCCAATCATCTGTGCAATACGTATGACAGTATGACGCACTCGGTTTGACAGCGCATTCTGCATACGAAAAACCGTTTTGCTTCAAGAGAGTTGTCCTCACTTAGGGAATGGGGAATAGGGAGACGAAATACCAGCTGGAGTACACCATGAATAATTGATGATTATTCAGCGTAGAAACGTTTTCGTTCCTGCCACTCACACTGTACACCCACCTGGTTCGAGCTTTCTTACTTGAATAGCAGACCAAACAAACACCATACTCCGTTTCGTCTATAAAAGCAGAATGAAATATTCAAAATTCAACACAGCTTGGTTTTTGGAAAATAAACTGAACGAAACGTTTGCTAGCTAGTTATTATGAGCAAGAGTATAGCCATCGAAATTTATCAAGCTCCCCATGTTCACCAATCAACTTCGTACACACCGATTTACGCTCGAATGCGTAACATCATTATATTTGTTTGTGGAGTTTGGCGCTAGCAAAAAGTCAATAGGCTTTTTTGGAGGGGGGACGATAGCAGAGCATTCAGTCAGTCTGGTGTGAACGCTTCAGTGAACTGCCGTCGGAGTTTGTCTAAACGCGTTGCACGTAGCTTTGATTGCGCTTATTACGAAATTACAGTGCGCCATATTTTTCGGTAGAATGTAGTTTGGTGAATTGTTAGCATCTGAGTATTCGAATACATCCCAGTGTGGAGAATGAAGGAGTCTTACTTGACAGAACGTCAAGCAGAGGGTTCACCCAGTTGTTACCCAGCTCATTGGATTTTCGCCCACACCGGCGAACGGTTTCTGCAAAATAAGCGGAAAACATAAGTTGAAAACACTAGAACCTCAGATCTGTATTCAAAAGATACACCAGAGAATCATCTTAGACTGTAAATGAGTAAATAAATATGTCAGGAAGTTTAGATTCTTCAAAGCAACCCCAGAAAGTTTGAAATCTACTGAGACCCTAGAGCCCCTCCAAAACCTCCATAGGAAAGCCAACAAGCATCCTGGCCAGTCAATAATTCAATCAATTTAGCAAAAGCTGATGAGTGTTCAGGTAGGCCACAGAAGCACGACCGAATGTGATCAGCGTTCAGGCATGTCACAGAAGCACGATCGATGTTGATGGGTGTTCACTAAACGCCTATCAGACAGTCTGGATCAATGTCAAAAGGTACCCTTTAAATAGCACAGGGCCGTTGTAGCTTTTGCACTCGGACGCACTCGCTTGTTGTAATAAAGCTGTTGTGTTCTTTGTCGGTCACGAAGCAGAGCGAGCCAGTCAGAACCCCGTTTTAACGCAACATTGATAACCAGGTTGATGCTCGTCACAAGTACGATACAATCAGAGCAAACGGAAGCACGCACGGATTGCTGCTCGATGCGGCTTCCGATATTGCGATCCTTTCCCTACCTGGAGAAGGATCGGATCACCGAAACTCAGACCAACAATGAACAGCGCCAGAAAAACGCTTCAGGTGGTAAGCTTCAACAGCAGTTAGAAATGACAATATGTGAAAACATATGTTCATTTCAGACAGAGGAAGCACATGCGAGATTTGTATGGTTCAAACTCTGTTCAACG